TTAGCACTGGAATTACTTGTCACAATTTCATTATGAAATGTAGCCATATAAAAAGTTCCATAATTCGGAAATAGCACTTAATCAAGAACTTCTGCAAGTGCGTTGGAAGTTTCTTCGGCTCACAATTACACGGGGCATGAAACTCTAAGCCATAAATTAAGGCAAAATTTACACAAGGTTCCATTAAACAAGTCAAACAAATTTCTTTCCATTGTCGAAGCGACATCTTTACCGATTCAGTTTACAGTTTGCTTTTGTCTGATAGCCACAACGTGTTAGCAATTACTGAAATTTAATTTACTAATTTCTAATCATAACGTACACTTAAATAAAACAACAAAATTGCTCCACAAATGTAATTTAAAGTTTACAGGTTTTTGCCAAACTGTGTTCATACAACAACTCTAGTCATTTGAGATGTTATTAAGTAGCTGAACACCAATCCGTTTTAAAGTTTTATGGCTTCATTAATTCACCTAACAATGTTTACGCAGATATTGGTAAATAAGTTCTATTCTCATTTCATAGATTTATCTTTTGTACAGTAAATTAATTTATTCACATAAAATTAGTATATTGATGTATGTACAATTTATGTATATCTTTTTATTTCAAAATAAAACATACTATATTATGTCTAATAATTGTAATTTTATCTTACTTTACCCCACAGACTGGTAGTCATTTGTTATAGAATCTTCCTTGTAAGTTATTCTTGAACTGAATTCGTTTCAGCATTAAATTCTTGCTGCACTGTAAGAAAAGACAGCAAAAATTGGATATTTTTGTACTTTTCACTTCAGATATTAAATTATATTATAATTTATAATTAATCAGATTCGTGAGTCTTTAGTATAATGGTGACTGTGTTTTTTTTTTTTTTTTGTTTTTTACAAAAGGAAAGAGGCACTTGTAGACAAAAGAGACCAGCTCCACGACCGACTCCCATATCGACATTTGGAATACCCGTCTCACAATATCAAGTATTGTTTGCGATATTAATGATTCCATTTTATAATTAATATTGTTTGTCTTTTCTGAAGTTTGCCACTTATATTCATTATGTGTGATGTATAATGTATTATATCTATGAATAACAAAAACACATATGTAATAATAATTCCGTTGTGACATATATAAGATGATTAACGAGAATTGATTCCATTAAACATTGTGTTTTTGTTGTATAAACTTGTAATAAATCGACTAAGGTGCTTAACATTCTTCCATTAAATTAAGATATGTAAATCTATTAAAATGCTACTAGTTACTTATTGTTTAATTTCTAAATATAGAAAAGGAATTTTATAAAATATTCAAAACTGCATATTTCATATTATAATTAAATTAATTTTAAGTAGTCATTTAAAAGCAGCACGAAACCAAAATGAAGATCAGTTTGGAATGTTACCTTTCTCTATATCTTCTATTACGCTTTCTATTTTGTCTTCTGCTTTGAGATACACTAGTACCACTTTATCATTTGTGGGACGAAGTGGTTTCTTTAAAACCTCAGCTTACGTTGATTTCGTACTAGCGGCCAATATAGCTGCCCATGGGAGCCATATTCGCATCTGAATAAACAGGTATCTGTTACATATCTTTGTTTATTATTTTAATCATTTGTATACGTCTATCACCTCTACCAGTCCTGCAATGAACAAGTGGCTGTGCGCATTTGTTCGCGGTGTCAATTTTGAAGAGTATAAACGTGGGTGCCAATTATTATAAACACTATCAGATAAGCCAATACTGAAAACAGTATCCGATTGATATCATTATAAAATGAAAGCAATTAGACCACGATTAGTAGAAATTCTAGTTATATCGAATCAGGATATTTAAAAACATTGAATAATAGAGGATATATTTTAATCTAAATAACTACAAACCAACCAATGCTGTATGTCATTGGACTAGATATAGGTTATAATACTAATAAATTATGAAACTATTTGGTACTAGAGGGAGACGTTAGGCAGAACTCTCCCCGCTCCGAAGAAGAAGAAAAAGATGTTAGGCACCATCTCTTAATAAATTATACCAGTTGACACCCCTATAACACTGTTAATAATTCCGTTTTATATGAATTTTATGTTGTACGAGTCACTTAGATTTTAGAAATACGTGAGCTGTTCACAGCCCGGCACATATATTTGTAAAATTTAAGTGACTCGTACAACATGGAATTCATATAAAACGGAATTATCAACAGTGTAATAGGAGGGGGTCAACTGTAGTTATTAATATTAAGAGATGGCGCCTAACGTGCCGATTATAGCCGATTATCTAGCCTGATGGCACATAGCGTTGGTTGGTAGTTCATAATATATCGGGTTTTAATGTTGTTTATTCATAATCTTTACATGAACCAAAGCTTTCTGGATTTTACGCGGTATTTAAAAATGCAGAAATCACGACATGAGTTACGTTTTCTTATATAAATTTATATATACATAATCACAAAACTTATTGTTTCAATAATAGTATCACACATAAATACATTAAAAATCAGCTAGAGTAGAAAAATGTTTAATGAATATTAAAAATGTTTTTCAGTTTATGTTAATAGCGTACTGTACATGGCCAACATAAATCTTCAGTTATAGCTTATGCCAATGATATTAAATTACGCACACGTTACATTCCAAAATGATCTTCATTTTCGTTTCGTGCCTATTATAAAATGTCTCCCTAAAAATTAATATACTTATAATCTTAAATATGCAGTTGTGAATATTTTATAAAACTTTTTTCTATATTTAGAAATAAAACACTAAGTAACTGGTACCATTTTAATAAATTTACATATTTTAATTAAAGAATGTTAAGCACTTAGTCGATTTATTACAAGTTTATACAAAAAAGCACAATGCTTGATAGAATCAATTCTCGTTAATCATCTTATATACGTCACAATGGAATTATTATTACATACTTTTTTGTTATTCATAGACATAATGCATTATATATCATACATAATGAATGTAAATGGCAGACTTCAGAAAAAAACAAACAATATTAATTATAAAGTAGAATTATTAATATCGCAAACAATACTTTATATTGTGAGGCGGGTATTCCAAACATTAGTATGGGAATACTAATGTTAATGAATATAGCTGGTCTCTTTTTTCTATAAGTGCCTCTTTCTTTTCTTCAAACAAAACACCATAGTCACCATCATTCTAGCTACTCGTGAATGTGATCAATTATAAATTATAATTTAATTTAATATCTGAAGTAAAAAAGCATCAATTTTTGCTGCTACAGTAATAGATAAAATTTGATTCTGTATTTTTGTGATAGCAAATGTTCTTGTGAGTCTATTTCGAGTGAGTCTATAAGAATTTATTATTTTATTTCCTTTTGTTTAATATAAACTTTTTCAGGTTAAAACAAGGCTTTTGCAGAAATGTAAGATCTCAAATGACTAGAGTTGTTGTATGAGCACCGTTTGGCAAAAACCTGTAAACTTTAAATTACATTTGTGGAGCAATTTTGTTGTTTTATTTAATCGTACGTTATGATTAGAAATTAGTAAAGTAAATTTCAGTAATTGCTAACACGTTGTGGCTATCAGAGAAAGGCAAACTGTAATCTGAATCGGTAAGGATGTCGCTTCGACAATCGAAAGAAATTTGTTTGACTTGTTTAATGGAACCTTGTATAAATTTTGCCTTAATTTATGGCTTAGAGTTTCATGCCCCGTGTAATTGTGAACCCAAAAAATCTCCAACGTACGTGCAGAAGTTGTTGAAAAAGTGCTATTTCCGAATAATGGAATTTTTTATATGGATACATTTCATAGTGAAATTATGGCAAGCAATTCCAGTGCTAAATAGGTTTGCTCCTTGCTCCGGTCCATATTCTTTAGCAAAGAGTGGAATTACATTATCCAAATTAGCATATGCATCCGTAATATTCGTGGCTGCTTCGGAATTAGAATTTGTTAAAAAGAACAAGGTGAATATAAACTTTAAAGTAAAGCATCAATTTTTCCAAAGTAAAACAGCATATGAAGCATTGAACAACATGTGCCTGCTAATATCTGTTTTGGCTGTAATATTTCAATGTTTTATAGCAATATCCAATTTGTATCTGTTTCCTATCTGGCAAAAATATAAACATTTTGAAGGCGAGGAGTTCTTTTGTTTGATACAGTTTAGTGGAGGCACTAATACCTTTATTGGACAAATAATTATTACTTATTTATTTGCGTTTTTATTTACGTTTGTTGGTATAAAAGAGTTGGATTATTTGTCTACAGAACTAACATCAATTCGACATAACGACTTGAATCTACGACAGAAAGTGCAACAGTTTATGCTACATTACGAAGAAATTTGGAAATACATATTACAAGCAAATGATAGAATCCACTATATTTTAATCATAATTTATGTTTTTGCCACTTTTTCAACCAGTTTTTCTTATTATATATATCTGTTTATCGATACCAATGAAGTAATCAGATATATTGCACTGTTCTTTGCTATAGTCTTGAGTATGATCTGTATTCTTTACGGATTAATTACATGTTGCTTGGCATTTTCGGTATGTAAGAGAAACCAATAGTTTTTTGTAAACTTCCATAATATAAAATATCAATTTTTTTCTTTTTCAGATAGAAAATTCCTTTCAGGATATTCGACATTTCGCTCTTAGTAATCTACCTTTTGAATACAAGTTGAAGGTAATGATGAATTTATTCGTCTATACGTTTACTCATTATTTTCTTCGTTCTCTCGTCTCGTGTTTAAAATGTTGTAATGCGTAAAAAAATGTATTTTTCATTTATGACTAAACAATTTATACCGATGATATAACAACTTCTATCGGGCATTTGCTTGTAGTTGAATTTAAATCTTATTTTAATTCAACGGCCTGATGAACTTCTACTACAAATAATTCTCATAAACATGCATACACAAGTTCACAAACGACACCACGTAAAATTGTGTGAGGCCCTGGAAATAGCCCCTCCCCCCCCAAAAAAAGGAAAGATATGTAAAAATTTGTTATGTTAAATCGTCAGGAAAGCAAATTATAAGTGTCGAATCGGCGACACCCGACTTTGACGTCGACGCTCATCAAAAGTTGACGGAAAAACCAAATTTTAGATGTAAAAAGAAGAAAATTTAAAATATTAAAAGTTAAGACGCAGTTTAGAAAGCAAAACGAAACTAGATAAAAAAATGTCTAGATGAGCGAAGGTGTCATAGTCAACAATTAAACGCGATCAGATTCGAAAAGATGGTGTCGGATAAACCATCTCCAGCCGACCTTTTCCACGAACTTAACGAAGCTCCATTTACACCTGGAGACAGGTGTATGAGCAATTGGAAAACGGTGATGTAAGAACTATCCAATTGACAAGAAGCCGATCGCAAAAACCCTATAAAAACGCAAAAATCAAGGACAACGAAACTTCCACTAAGACTTTTCCACCTAGACTACCTGTTGTGTTCGTTTGTCGACAGCTGTCGTGTTTCCTTTCATCTTTTGTGTGCTGTCACTTCAGATCTCGAACTTCTCACTCGACGCAGTCACGGGGCCCCTCCAGCGTAGGACCAGATCGACACCGAAAACAACTTACGAAGACAACCCGAAGTTCTGAACTTAAGGACCTTTGCCAACAAAAATTATGTAAGCATTATCGTCCGGAATAAACGGTTTACCTTTGTAAACACTTGTCTTTTCTGCCTTTAAAAAGCCGCCACCCACATACGCATAGACCTTAGACCATCCCGATGGTAGGGAATAAAAATCTCCCCCCAATCGGCGTTCTTACAATTGTATACTTGTCTTCCAAACTACAGAATGAATTAAGATTAATGGCATTGTAATTGAATGTAACCAAGTAAATATGCACAAATGCTCTTATATTTTATCATTTCTTAGATATTTATGTAAAAATATCATCTACAGATTCTAAATTTTATGAAGAGATTTGCAAACGTGGCATTGAAACTTTCAATGGGAGGATTTTTCGTCATCACTAAGAAATTTCCAATCAGAGTGAGTTTTTGAACACATTTTATAATTAATTATCAATTACTATTATCTACTTTTTTGATAATTTCTTGCTTAATATTTCGTTATCTTGATTTTTCTATCTTAAAAATATTCTGGTTATTACAGTTGGTGAAATCGTTGCATTCTGTATTCTCCGGGTTGTTAAAGATGCGAGATATATCGTACCAAAAAGAAGTATGTGATGAACTTAGAATTATTAACAGAACAAATATTTTAGCAGTTGAAGGAATGTGGTGATAATGTAATTGATAAAGCAGAAAACATTATCATACAATGTATTATTTTAATGAGTTAAAATATGGTTCTTTAATATGATGTCATTGGATTTCACATTACGACTTACAATTTTATATACTGATCTTATGTTCAGTGAGAGAAGTTTTATCAGTTAAACCAATGAGATTCAAGTTATAAAGACATTTCACTGTATTTATTGAAGTATACTTTCTGGCTCTAAAACAATTTACGGTTTGTTTGGTAAAAACTAAAAAAGAAAATTTAAAACTCTTTGAAAAAAAATTTCGGAATCGGCCACATAGTGCAGTTTTCCTCATCTAGCTTACAATAGGGACCACATTACCATAAATATTCCATCGGATAACGCCTCCATTGGTAAACTGTTCAACTGTTGTTTCCTTATTCCATCAATTCAATTAAACATTCTTTTTCTTTTTAAAAATCTAGCTCAAAATTAGCTTAAAATTTTCTATTGTGCATCTTCATGCGTTTACAAATAGCAAACTTACACTATAGTCCTTGTGTAAGTTTGTTTATTTCACTATACTGATAGTTACTCAGTGCCCGTTCTACTATTTATGTCTCATGTACTCTTTAAAAATATATCTCTTTTACTTGAAATAAAAACCGAATGATTTTAAATTATAATAAAAACGTTTCTTTAGAAAGAAGTATGTAAAAAGTTACAGTCAAGTAGTACAGAACAGTAAAAATTAAAATGTACCTATACCTAGTTAGAAATTGTAACAAGATGCATTTTAATGCTATTAGAAAAATGCATTATTGCACAATCAAACAAACAAAACTTATATTTTATAAAAAAATATGCAAATGTAACATGAACCACACTGAAATTATAATAAACTTTTTTTCTCATGTTTAGTTCTGCAAAATTTTTTATTCATAAATGTCAACAGAATCATTATTAATTAAAATACTTTCTTAATCCTTGTAGTGTTTTAATAACGTTTCTTTAGACATGGTTTGTAAATTGTATATGCTATATAAGAATAAAAAATAGTTACTTTAGTGACTAAGTTGTTAAAATGTAGCAGTTAATTAAGTGCGTTTAGTGCTTGATCAATTGTAAAATAAAATAAAAATCTATCTTATATTTTTCTTTGAGTTCTTCGAGCCGTTCATTTCGTAGAATACAGTAGATCCCCTATAACACTGTAGATAATTCCGTGTTATACGAATTCCATGCTGTACGAGCCACTTAGATTTTACAAATACGTATGCCGGGCTGTGAACGGCTCACGTATTTGTAAAATCTAAGTGACTCGTATAACATTGAATTCATATAATACGAAATTATCTACAGTGTTATAGGGGGTCTACTGTACTCAACTGTTGCATTGTGTCTTTATTTGGTTGTATTTAAATTGAAATGTCATATTACTGCGTGTGAAATATACAATTGCAAACTTATCTTCTGTAGTTTGTACTAGTAGCTTGCTAGTTCTGTAGTTCAAAATAAACGTGCAATTGTATTTAGTTTTCTTTTGTAATAGTATTTATAAATTATAGTATACTATTCACATGTTTTAATGTAACTGAATCTTTATATCTATCTCGATATAAATGATTTTAGTTGGTATTTATGAAAATAAAGAACATGTTGTACACTGATTGTAATTAATGCCTTTTACTTAACATATTCCCATGCAGTTTGTTTATTTTACGATCATTAATTATAAACGTTTTAAATAATAATGACTCTAATACGAGGTATAAGAAGATTAACGAGAAGCAATTCCATTAAAGATTGTCTATTGTTTTAGAAATTAGTAATAAATAGGCAATTAACTATTTAATATTCATCTAGTAATTTCCTTTTTATTGAACACAGCACACCATGCCACTGTAAGTTATTGATATTTACAAACTTTACTAGAAGAATGTTAAACAATTAGCTGAACTTTTAAACTACAATCAGTGTATAATATTCGTGTTTTCATAAATTTCTATTAAAATTATTTAAGTAAAAAGATTCTGTTGCATAAATATTAATACATTATAATATAATGGGGGTAAAACAGTGGAGTATCTGTACTTAAAAGATTTAAAACTAAAACTGTAGAGATTTAAAACATTTTATACAACATGGGGCATTAAAGTTAGTTTTGTAGGTTATTTTCACAGCATTTTGTAACCTCATTTTTAACTTTATCCACCTTTGGACACTAATAGGACCTCTTTCAGCAAGCCCTTAATGGGTTCAACCAATCCCACAATGGGGCGACTGTGAGTGAGGGTAGAAACATATCTCAATTGACCACAACCTGAAAAATTCCTGGAGCTGTTTTGACTCATTAGGTAACTGTATATTATGAGAACAAATTATTAAGGTAAATCTGGTTATTCTTCAAACATATGGTAGTTTTTTCAACTTTTTCCTATAGTGGCACACCAAATCTGGTAATATTTTTTGCAGCACCATACCGTTTTATCACTGTAGTTATTATGTTATTTGCAGTTTTAGTAATACATGTAAGAAGTGTAATGGCGCGCTCAGCAAATGTATTTCGCGGGATCCTAAAGTGTCGTTATGTTATCTTAATGCACCGCGGCGCCCGGTTAAAAATCACTGATCTTATGTTTTAAGAAAAGTAATAAGCTGTGAAAATCGATTTTACATTTACTACGAAAAAATTCCTAATGACGAAATATCGTCTCTCATGCGCTATCGCATAAACTAATCCTAAAAAATCTAGCGTTACAGGAACTATACAATGCCATTTATTTTCTAGAATAAAAATTATTTGAATTTTATTGTATTGATTCTCATAAATTTGATTAATAAGACTTTTTTATTTTAATATACAGTAAGTACAGTATATAAAAATCAAAGTCGTGATGTGCAATACAGAAAATTCAATGACATCATACTAAAGAAGTATGTTTTATTTATTAGTATATTGCAGAAAACATTCGCATAAATGTGCTATTAGTTACATTATCACCACATTCCTTCAATTGCTGTAATATTTGTTCTGTTAAAAATTCTAAGTTCATCACATGCTCTTTTTTGGTACGATACATCTCTCATCTTTAACAGTCCAGAGAATACAGAATGCAACGATTTCACCAACTGTAATAACCAGAATATTTTTAAGATAGAAAAGCCAAGATAACGAAATATTAAGCAAGAAATTATCAAAAAAGTAGATAATAGTAATTGATAATTAATTATAAAATGTGTTCAAAAACTCACTCTGATTGGAAATTTCTTAGTGATGACGAAAAATCCTCCTATTGAAATTCTCAATGCCACATTCCCAAATCTCTTCATAAAATTCAGAATCTGTAAATAATATCTTTACATAAGTATTTAAAATGTAAGGAAATCTGGGAGCTGTTTTGCATATTCTATATTTAGTTTATTTTATTAAATTACAAAGTTATTGATTTTAGTTATTAACTATAAAATTCCATAGTTTGGAAGATGAGTGTACAGTTGTACGCTTTGTGTACTTGTTATATATAAGAGAAGGAAAGTATGGCAATTGGGCAAAAACTGACACTTAAGATTTTTACATTTTTGGGCTCAGGGGACCGTGAAACGTGGAGAAATGCAAAAGAATTCGGGTAATTTTTCTGTACGTACACGGTTTTGTTCACTCTCTTTTAAGCTTGATAACTCCTTTGCTTTTTGGCAAAAATTTATGATATTTTGCAGAATGGTTTGATCATTAGGGAGATTGATGGTGTTAGATTTTGGTAATTAAAAGTCGAGGGGGTGGGGTAATAAAGGGGATCGTGTGTATCTCCAGTAGGGTCGGACTTAATAACAATTTTACTTGTTATCAGTATTTACAACTCTATAAAACCCATCCCTGAATTCAAAATTAAGTTATTACCCATTTTATTAACAGTTAAATATATAAAAAATTTTATCAAATGAAATATGATAATAGATGATGCTAAGAAATGTTGCCGGAAAAGTTAAGCAACTCTTTTTCTTTAAAAATTATAAAGAAATATTTCAGTATTATAAGTATCATATTATCAGACGAAAGTAAAAATAAACGAATACATTATAATATAGTGGGTAATTTCATAATTACCTTTAACTTGTATACCAGAGATAGATTACAAAAAGCGATATACCGAATATCTTGAAAGGTATTTTCTATCTGTAAAATCGAAACGTTACTATTTTTAAGTAATTAAAATTTATAAAATACTATTGGTTTCTCTTACATACCGAAAATGCCAAACAGGAGGAAAATAATCCATAGAGTATACAGACCAAACTGGACTGTATTACGAAGACCAATGCAATATACTTGATTACTTCGTTTGTGTCTATAAATAGATACGTGTAATAAGAAAAACAGGTTGAAAAAGTGACAGAAACATGAACAATGACCAGAAGATAATTCATTCTATTATTCAATTGTGATACTAATCTCCAAATTTCTTCATAACGTAGCATGAACTGTTTCACTTTTCGTCGTAAATTGTAATCATTCAGTTGAATTGATGTTAGTTCTGCAGACAAATCATCGAATTCTTTAACGAAAACAAACCAATATATAGCGCCTAACGACAGGATAAATGTTATTTCTCCAAAGAGGAATTTACTACCAATACTAAACTGTATAAAACAAAAGAACTCCTCGCCTTTGTAATGTTTATATTTTTGCCAAATAGGAAATAGATATATACTGAATATTGCTACAGAACACTCAAATACTATGACAATTGCGGACATTAGCAGAGACATGTTGTTAATTGCTTGGTATGCTTTTTTACTTTGAAAGAAATGGTGCCTTAGTTTAATGTTAAGAAATAACTTGTTTTTTTTAATAAATGTAAATGCCGAAGCAGCCGCGAATATTGCGGAAGCATATACTAATTTGGTTAATGTAAGTCCACTCTTTGTTAACGAATATGGACCGGAGCAAGGAGCAAATCTATTTAACACTGGAATTGCTTGCCATAATTTCACTATGAAATGTAACCATATAAAAAATTCCATTATTCGGAAATAGCACTTTTTCAACAACTTCTGCACGTACGTTGAAGATTTCTTTGGTTCACAATTACACGGGGTATGTAACTGTAAACCATAAATTAAGGAAAGATTTAAACAAGGTTCCATTAAACAAGTCAAACAAATACCTTTTGGTTGTTGGAAAGTCATCTTTACTAATTCACATTAATTAAAAGATACTATCCTCAGTCATCCACAACGTGTCAGGGATTAATCAGATTTACTATAGTAATTTCTGCTCATAACATACAATCAGATAAAGCTGTAAAAAAAAATAATAAATAAAATTTAACTTTACATGCCACTCTAAATGATGCTTATTCATTTAGTGTAATTATTTACAATATTATTCATTTCTTAGAACTGAACAGTTGTAAATAAAATTGGTATTATTAATT